TTATTATAGTCTTGCTACAACGTAAAAAAAAAAGTGTAACATTGAAACACAAGACATGAATTAAACAAAACTAATGTGTATTAGAAGCAAACTCTCGTCTAAGGCTTTGTTATGTACACATGTCAGATGTGAATACATTAACCAAGACTAAAGAAACGGGTTTTAACTACCTCAAATATCTAGTATACAAAGCTTATGTGAATCAAAAAGAAAATCTCGTCTAAGGTCTTTTTTCAATCCAAATCGAATTAGAAACATCAATGGCACATCAAAATATTAAATTTTAAAAATCCAATTTGAGTCATAGTTTTTAACTCAAAATTAAAACTCAAACACCTCAATCTCTGCTTGAAATTCAAAATAAAAGTTTAAACTAATTTCCAAGAAGGCAACAAACAACTAAAACAAACCAAACATGATTTTCTATGATTTGTCATAGTTCCATATCAATTTGTATTGTATATGTGTTTTTGGTTTAGTATGTACGTAACTTTTATGTTTCACTTTTATGGTTAGAATCACATTCACATCTATTATATACGTTGTATAATTAATATAACTTGATGATATTTTTTTKYTYTWTTTGCGATTGATAAATGGAAAATAATTTGTTGTTTAATTTTAGTTAGTGATATAAGTTATATATTTTGTATTTATAATATAAACGTAAAAATATTGGTCGATAGAAATGATGTATTAATGGATTTTTCCGTTTGACTAACTTGCTTTATTCATATTTTAAATAAATATAGATTGAAACCAAACATGTATTCATGATTAAAAAAAATTTTTATTAAATTTTGTAACAAAAACTCAAATCATTAATAAGAAGAACACATAAAAACACTCAGTTTAAAGTCATTCAGTCAAAACTAAAAATTTAAACAGGCCAAATGGGCCAGCCCGCGTCCAAATAGGTCAAACCGTTATGGACCAAAAAAAAATTCAACCCATACGGATTGGCCGTCACGGGTTGCAGGTTCTAAATGTGTGTCCAAGCCCGCCCCGTTGCGGTCTTACTTGGGTCTAACCCGCGGGCCGCAGCACATGTTGACATCTCTACTTTTCTGGTTTTTATTTTAAAACAAAATTTTAAAGTGTGGTATTTTAAAATATTTCTTTAAAAATAAAACATTTATTTTCTGGTTTTTATTTCCAAAATTCCTTAAATTTCCTATCTATTTCGGTAATGGAAGACCAAAATAATGATTTGACCATGACCGATTGCTATAAAGCGTCGGCCTCAATTATAGAAGAAAATAGAAACAACATTGTCAATGTTTTTTCTTTTTAACTCTTGTTCAATATGTTATAACTCTTGTTATGTATTAGCCTATTTGGTCAGTTGATTAGCTCATGTGGTAACTATAATTGGCTGTAATAACTTAAATCAACAAGTCGTTGAGTAAATGATTTTGCCGGATAGATTTGCCCTTATAAGACTTCGATCTATATGGCCTAACACGTTTTCTATAGATGGATTTGACAAGACGATGGTGATTTTGAAGAGGTTAGGTGATGGCGTAGTAATAAAAGAGAGCAAGCTTTACACATACACGATTAAAGCTAACCTCAATGTTAATTAATATGAAAAACACAGTTAGTTTATGATGGGTAACGAGTCTAACGACAACTAATATAGGCCTTGATTGGTATCGTTTTTTGTTAACATTAGCAGTAAGCAGCTGGAACAGTATGCTCTGATTAATATACATATTTAGGTGATTGGCAGAGTTGTGAATAATTAGATATAAAATTAAAAATAAATTATTTTATTTTATTTAATTTATATGTATTCTAATACATTATATATATATATATATATTAGTCATAAGTTATAACATCAATTTTTAATTTTTAATTAAATTATTATTTTATTATAATACTATTTAACAAATAATATGACAGATAAACTAATGGTAAATATTAAGTTTTCATTTTAATATAAATATAAATATATTTATGAATAATAAATTTTAATATTTAAGTTATATTTTTATTAAAATTTATTTAAAAAAAATACTAGACATATAAAAAATGATAAATATTAATGTATATATATGTTTTATAATTATAGAAATTATGTATATTTACTTTTATTGAAATGATTGTCTATATTATATTTATAAATTATAACATAATTTTTTTATAATATTTTCGAATTTAAACTATATTTAATTGAATTGGTATTATATTAAAATATTATTTTAATATAATAAAATAATGATAAATATGAATTTAAAATAATTAAAAGTTAATATAATTTGTTTTTGTTGTAATATAAAATAAAATGGTTAATTATATAATTTTAATTTTAATTTTTGTAAAAATATTTAGAGATCAATGCTCTGGAAAAGCTCCATTTGAGAGCAGTGAAGGAGGAGCATTTTGAGAGCATTTACAGTTACTAAATGTCCTACTTAATGTTCTGTCAACCAATCAAATTTTAATGATAAAATGTATAATGCTCTTTAAAATGCTCTGCCAATCAAACTCTATATGTAGTGTTGGAATTACGTTTAAATTCACGATTTAGAGTATAGATATGAAACTTTATGATCTGAGGTAAGACGATGAACAGTAATAGCATAGGATAAACACGCTAAAGTCTTTATAAACTTAGAATCATTTGCAAAAAAAAAAATGCTAGATATTTCTAGCAAGAAAAATCTAAGCCTTAACTTGTAATGGTGAACCCAAACACATTGCCATAACAACCTAACAAAATGATATAGGCCTAAATGGACGTTAAACCGTAGTTAAAGATTGATGAACCCAATCCGATTTATGTAGAGTGGACAATCCATTTTAAAACAGCTAGATTTTGCTGAAATTTTAACACATAGTTTTGTTAAAGAATTGCATGTCTACACGTTTCTCCATAAAATGATGTTTTGAATATTCATAACCCATAACTGGAAATTTTCAAATTGAAATTGAAGGTTCGTTAGTCAACTTGATTTTCTTCCATAAATTTTGACAAATTTTCTAAAATTAATTTCAAAATAAGAGCACATAATCACGAAAATAACTACCGAAGAGCACATAATCTTATTATCTTGCGAGTTCTAACCGAAATGAAGAGTTTTTGTTAAAAAAAAAAATTGATCTCAACAATGAGAAACATTAGATCTCGATTTTGTTGGATTTTCCACAAACAACAAACTCTCTATGTCTCTCAATCAATTTTCAAACGATCTTTAATATAGAATCACAATTTCCAAAATTAATGTTGGGCAAGAGAATTAGAACTTATACGTGATTTTGGAAATTTAGGGATCTTAGAGGTTTTTGGTTCCAAATTTTGAACACCACATTTTGTTTGATCAAATATCGCAAAGACATGCCATTTTTTTAACAAAACATAATGCATTTAGGTGCTGTTTGTAATGGTTATATATCATCTATACCATTTATGCATTCGCAATTAAAACCGTGAAATCTTATATCTAGCTAAACTTTTTTGGTTTTAATATTTATCTAAACTTACTACCTAAAATATAATACTGATAGTTAAATAACTAAACAAGACTCTTATCTAACCATTCATATGACTTTTGATTTTTGTTTTTGGAAATGTTTTTACATTCTCTAATATAAGATAGACACAAAAAAGAGTCAAACACAAAATTTAACTCCTTTATTACTTCCTATACCAATTTTTATAACGATTAAGTTGCTATCTATACCGTTTATGCGCGCGCCCAATTAAAACCGCGAAATTTTCATCACTTCTTATACCGTTTATGCGGACGCAATTAAAACCGCGAAATCTTAATCGCTATTTCTACCGTTTATGTTGATGAAGCATCATCATTTCATAACCAAATTCTCCAAGTAGTTTAAACGACAACGTTTTGTGTTAGCCAACACCGTAATTAGCGTACGCCACTACTACCCTTGGACGG